CCTCCCACTCAAACTTCTGCCATCCATACACGAGCTCCCTGGATAGGTTACTCGCTGTTTCACTGTCTCGCTTGTTTTTTGGGTTTTTTTTTTTCTTTTCTTTTTTACTAATTTTCGCCCAAGAGCCACTCAAGGTAGAGGGTTATTATGTGGAATTATATTAGCATATAAAAAAGCGTTAGGAGTAGAGCTTATTTCTAGACTTTAGAAGGAACAAGAAACAAGGTATAAAAAAACAATACTCCTGTTCAAGAAGAGGCCGGAAACCAAATACTAAACAGGGATCAAGAGATAAACGAAACCTCTACTACTCCTGCTCAAAAGACTGGGGATGAGTGTGAACCGGATAATAGGCGAGCCTATCTACTCCTATTGTCCTGTGAGGGTCAAAATTTTCAAGCCCTGTTTTCTTATTACGTGTTCCAGAAATTTCAACTATCATTTTCTGAGAAAAATAAGCGTGCTTTTTGTTTCTATTTTCCTTAAAACTTCATATTGCTCACATGCACCATCCATGGTATTCTCAGCATCCTCCTGTAGAACCAAATCTTTGTTGCTCCAATCTCCTCTTCGTCATTGAGAAAACTGTCCAACATTCAGTCATATAGGATGAACGATATTACATAGAAGTTCAGCACTCTTTAGTTTGTATAATAAAGAATATTTCCTGTTTCTTAATACGTTGTTTAGCTTACCTACAATACGGAGTTAAAAAAATGTTAACAGATTGTAGTGTGGGTGATACCATCTACAATGATAGAGCATAAAGAACAAGCATGTAGTTCTTTTTGGCCCGCACTTTCATTCTTATGTGCCCATTGCGAACAACAGTCGGCTGATGTACGTGAACGAACGGTTTATCTACCACAAAGAAGAATTATACAACACTTACGCCTACACACGCAGACATCCTACTTTCTTGAAGAAACGGCTGAAGTTTCAAGTTTTATCCTCCTCGTTATCACACATCTACTTTTAACAAAAGGAAAATTTTATTTCAAGTCATAGCAAAGTTTCCTTATTTGTATCTACTTGCGTCTTTATTATAATTTTGCTTTTAGTTTTCCCCTATTTTCTAAAACTAGTTTTTTTTTCACATTTGCGTAATTTATACTGTCCCAGTCGACAAGGCTTATTTTCTAATTTTCTTTTATTTTTAGATCAGGTTCAAAGTTCATTCGTTTCTAAGACCATAAACAATGTTAAGAATCTGGGTTAGTTTCTATGACCAATTCCCTTTTCTCTTAATTTTTTCCCGAAAAAGTGTTTGCTTTCTGCTATAAAGCAGATTTTGTTTCCTGTCCTTTCTTTAACACTGGCAAAACGATTCAATGTTCCAGATGCTAGCTTAGTTTTACTTTCAAATATACATACTCAACTGAGTAATAAATACACCCACTCACACAGTTGTTTTTTGTTTGTTTGTTTGTTTTTTTTTTAACAGGAACCTTCAAACACGTTATATTTTTTTTGCGGCCATCGTTGCGTTTCACCATATCAGTTCCAACTTTTGCCATCTACTTGGTATCTTTCGACCGTCTTAGAATTTAATTTGAGTCAGATTAATAAGCTAATCTTAATTTTTAAGTTTATTTAGGAATTCAAAGTGTTTTGAATATATCATTTATGAAAATCGATATTTTTAAAAAAAAAATTAAAAGAGAAGAAATATTTCTTGTTTTAATATTCAACAATTGGTTAGCCTTTTTTTTTTATTTTATTAACAATGGCAATGCAAATGAAAAATTTCGCAATTTTTAATTTAAATTTACAAAGCTAGAGAACAAAAACATAGATTTTATTAATTATTGAATATTTTAAAAGATTTTATATTTATTTTATCCCAAACAGCTAAAGTATAATTTCTGTAGAAATTAGAGTTTAAAACTTTTAAATACAGTGAGGTGGAATTGGAATATCTCTCTAAAAATAAAAAAAGAAGAAAGAATAGAAAAGAAAGAAGACGGGGAAAAAAAACAGGAAAAGTTTTCGTTATCATTTTCAAAAATTATTTCTTTGAAAATTGTCTTTAATCAGTGACTAAATAATTAAAAATATATCTTGTAAGTAAAACGCTAAGCTCATGTTAATTTTTGATAAAGTTATATTCGCTGTTCACGTGCATTTTTCTGCATTAGCATTCATTTGAAAAAAATTCATGATGTGAAATTTGAACACTTACTGACGGATTGTTTCAAATAAAATGTTTGATCTGAACGATATTTAAACATCATTAAAAAAATAGAAGTTTTTTGTGTTTTTTTTTTCAGCTCCACCTTAAATAATTTTAGCAGTTTTGTTACTGGTAAGTGGTAATCTAAAATTACTAATTTCATGTGATACGTCATTTTAGCAATATAAATAAATAGAAACTACCTGGAAAAACGGAAAATATAATTAAATCAGATCAAATCAAATAAAAAAAAAACTGTGACAATACGTGTTGATTTCTATTCCACATCTAAGTTTTCTAAATTCTAAGTCATTAATAAATTCTGTTGTTAATACACCACAATTGTAACCTTATGCAAAAAATTAGTTTAAGTTTTATAAATTTAAAATATCGACAATGTTAAAGAAATAAGAAGAAATATTAATTCAAATTAGTTTTTATTCATAAATTAATTTGTAAAATTAAATTTGGTTAGTAATTGGTAGCAATATGAACCCATGACAAAAATCCCAATGGACTGTCTAAAAAACAAAATCCCAGCCTCTTATCCCCAAAGTGAAGAAAATCCCAGTTTCATAATAGGATTAGGGGGTGTAAAAAAAAGGCCATTCGACTTTTATTATAAGATAACATATACTCGTCTAAGTGTAGAGGTATTGAAGAATGCATTCGTTTCAAGTGGTCATTTAATCATAATGGAAGACTAATGAACAGATTATTTTTCAATTTCATCTTCTATAGTCAATTACCCAATATTTTTCCAATATTAAAATTTGAATTTCTGACATTTTAACCTGGAATTTTTAACATTTTAATATATTTTGTAGTTACTTAACTTTATTTAAAATGAAATATAAAACTTCATTTCTTATTTAAAAAAATTTATTCAATACCTCAAATAAAGAATATTTTTGATACAGTCCAAGGAAACAATATCAAGTTTGAGATGTTTGATTTTTAGAACAAATTTAATAACTTTACAATTTTACAGTTCGCTCAATTTTTTTGTTGCTTTTAAAATAACTTTCATTTGTAATATACTTATTTTTAAAACGTAATCATAATTTTAAAAAGACTTTAAAAAAAATCAATTATTTTTTTTAAAATAATAGTAGCGCTTTTCCAGGCAATAATCATTGAGCCAATGATTTTTTTAATCACTTTTTTAAAAAGTGTTTTCTTTTTTATATTGTCAGATCAGCTTTTTAACGTAAACGACAGTTTTTAAGTTTGAGACCGATTTCAGCATTTTTAATTATTTTTTTTACAGATAAAATAATTTTAAATTCAAGAAAAAAAGGGATTTTGAAAAGAATCATATTTGTGATTAAACAGTCAAATTCCTAATTTAAAAGAATTAAACTTGATAGCATTTTTAAACCCAAGAAAAACCTGGAGTTTTTAAAATCATCTGGTTTTCAGGAAAACTTTGACAGAAAAAATTGAAGAAAAATAGAGAAAAGAAAGATGAAAAATTCGTTTCCTTTGTTGCAAAACCACGACAAGTTTTGCTAACATCCCCCAAAGTTTAAGGTAGCAGTAAGTGCTTCCAAATATAAAGTTACTACCATTGGGTGGTTTAGAGAAGAAAAAAAAACTGGTTTTATTTCTTAACTGCGAGGATAATCGTGACATTTTCTCTTTTTTTTAAACTTCATAACCAACTTCACTAAGAGAAACAAATCTTTCAGGAATAAGGATCGATATAGAAGAAAGGAAAAGTATACTGTGCCCTGGGATAATACGGAATGTGTTATGGTTGGTGTCCAAGCGACCAGGGTAGCTGCTCATGTTGCTAGAGGAAAAAGACGAAGAAAAAAGAGGAAAAAAAGCTGCTTTTGTTTTCCCATTCGTCCTTAGTAGCAGAAAAAGATTACATGGTGAAATTACCGAAGGTTGTAATAATTGTAACCATGCCACGGTGACCAATATAGTGATATTCTTCACCGTTTTCTACCTCACCGACCAATAACTTCTCAAAAAAAAAAAAGCTTGTGCCTACCACTGATTGATGTGGGTAACGAGCCAAAGACAACAATAATAGCAAGATCATCTTGTTTCCTGACCGTTTTTAATCTTTTGTTGTTGTTTGTGTCATTCATCATATCAAATTATCAACCAACAAGTTAAAAACCATCTCCTTTTAGTTTTCCAATCTTCTCCACCTTACTTAGTAATAGTCTTTCTGTCTTTAAAACTTTATTTACATTTTAAACAAATTATTATAATCTTCATCCCACCACCACCATATCGATAGATTTTTAATTTATACAAGTCTTCATTTATTTTCTAATTTCCACCTCACCTTCAATTTTTCTTCCTTCCTTGTTCTCAATGTCTATCCTCTTCCTCATCCTTTTTTTAATCAACAGATTTTGAAATAACATTCTCATCTTCATTATCGCCAGCAGCAGCAGCAACCAGTGAATTGGAAATTCTTTTGTCGTCGTCATCATCATCATCTTCTTTTTACCCCACCCTCTTTTGGATCGATACCTTCCTCTTTATCGAATTTCCTACACGATCCGTCCCATCGACAAGCCAATTTAATTTATATACCCGGCTAGTAAGTTACATTCGTCATCCACAAAGTTTCCGGCTGCGAAGCGGAGAGCATCTAAAACATTTTACAAAAAAAGAAAAAGAAAAAAAAGTCTTCCTCGCACTACCACTGAGGGGAAGATAGAACTTTTAAACATCGTAGTGACTTTCGGTCTTTTGACAACAATAATCATATCTCGATCTTTAAACCTATAGAAAGAGAAGCCTTTTTTTTTTTTTCTTGGAAAATAATTTTCTAATTTTTTTATTCCTTGTGTCTTGTGAGATGTCTACCCGTCCGGCTAGCGCTCACTCCCGCAAGGCCTGGGACAGTGGTGACCTGGGGCTAGTGGACAGCAGTAGTACCGCTGGCGGACACTCAAGCATCGTTTCCCAGTCTTACGGTATGGAACCCGGCCTTTATGGGAACAACAAAGTTAACCAAAAGCAAGCACAGAATCTGTCATGTTGTGGAAAAGTGATGAAAGCCATCCGTTGTAAGTATAGTTCTTAAATATAAATTAGTGAATTGTGCATTATATTCCGTGTGCTTAAAGTTTTCTTCTGGTTGGTTAGACATTAAAAAATTGTTTTTTTTTTTGTTTTTTTTAGCAAGGTATTGAAATTCCGTATGATGTGATGAAGATTAAAATAAATTAAATAATTTAAGAAGTTCATTCAATAATCGTTTTAAAAACTTTATATTTTTAGATCGAGATTATAAACAAAAATAGAAAGTTTCTTTGAATCGAAATTGAAAAATAAATGAAATGTTACTTTTTATTTACTTTATTAATTGGAACTTCGTGTTTGTTACACTACTGTTACAGCTAGTTAGTAAATATGCCTTATTCAACAAAAAACTTTTGACATCAATATTTTTATTTAAAGAAAACTAAGAATTATCGCTGAAGAAGTAATGAATTCCAAAATAATCAACATAAAAGTTGTCCTTAGTGTTTTCCTCATGTCTTCAACACATTGTGTATAAAAAAAAAAGTTAAGTTAAGTTAAATTTACATATCACGTCTTTTAAATGTTGCGATGAGTGATGCGAATATTAACTTATCTCATTTTGGTGTTTTTTGACACCACCTCCCTTTTACTCTACAGTCTACAATCATAACATGTTACCAAAAAAAGGAACAAAGTTTTTTTTTTAACTCAGTAAGAAGGTTAAAAAAAAACAAAAACTTAATAATTTTTAGTTTATAATTAAATTAATACTTTTCTAAAAAGTTTAAAAACACTATGAATTCATTTGAAGCAAACCAAAAACAAACCAAGTTTTATAATAATGAGATGAAAAAACAGGAAAACACTTTTTAAGGAAGAAATTGATACCCGTTTTGGTATTTTTTGGACACAAGTAAAACAATAAGAACGATCTTTCACCAACCTATTGGGTTTTTCTTTTCACGATTTCAAGAAGTTTTGTTTATACTTTCATTAGTTAGGACTCACTAAAGGAGAATAATATTTTGAAAAAACTAAAAGTCATGTTGAATCTGACAATAAAAATTGAAATAAAACGAACTTTTTTACTTCCTTTTTTTTTTTTTTTTTAAAAAAAAAAAAAAAAATAAATAAAAAATAAAAATTGAATTTCATGCTTTTCAAAAAAAAAATAAGCTGATTATTAATTTAATTTGGGGGCTAACATATATTTTTTTAGATCAAAGTACTTAAAAATACACATATAAAATGAGAAAGTATAAAAAATTAGCTGACTTTTTTTTCCATCCCAACTCAAACATGAACAACACGTCCTCCTCTAACCCTATTTGCACCGAATCGCCTCTTTGGTCTGTCTTCACTCAGAAACCAGACTTCTTTCACGTTAACTTTTTTTTATAACTTTTAAAAAGTTTGGATGGAAACAGTGCTTTTTAGCTTTTAATTTATTTTTTGAGTCAACATCCCATTTGAGTAAACTTTCATTTCCAACTTGTCCGAATTAAACGTGTTAATTAATTTCCAGCATCATTTCTCTTTACGGTACCTAAAATAAATTGTCAGTGACTTTGGCTCATGTTTTAGTTTTCAAGTAGTCGTTTGTTGAGGATGAGAAATCTCATAGAATAATCTTTTCAGTGTTACTGTTAACCAATTTACAATGGCAGTTATGGTGGTAGTGGTGGTAAAGTCTTTATGGGTAACAGACTATTATCTGACCTAGTATTTCGTGATTCAGATTTGGTTTACGACGGCGTGACTTTGTTTTCACTTCACTTTCGTTCCAATGTTTATGTTCAAAGTTTTAGTTAAAAAAGAATTGAGTGTAGTTATTAAGTTTAAATGTCATTTTAGAATGTCTATTAGTGAATAAAACTACATATTCGTAATAAAATACAGAACGGTAAAAAATAGATAAAAATGGAAAGTACCAAAAAAAGAAAACTAAAAAGGGAAATGTTTGACACGCAAAGAGTTTTTTCGGGTTACAGTCAAGAATACATTCAATTGGTTATCAAAAAGATAACCTTTTTTTTTCCTCCAAAATGAAATACAAAAATAAATGACACTTAGTAACACTGTATGGAAAAAAGTACGTTACTCAATGCAATGTGGAAAAAAAGTACGTTAATTCAATTACATTTTTAGTTTGGAATATTAATTACTTTCAGGAAAAAAAGTACTTTAAATTAAATTTTATAAAGCCGAAATGACATCATTACGTTCACGAACGAAAAAGTCATAAAAAATCTTTTATTTTAAATAAAAAAGATGCCAGTTAAAAAAATATTTAATTTATTTATTTCTACAAAGCTTATTTATTTTTACTTTATAGTTCTTCCTTTATTACTTATTTAAATTTATGCTAGTTAAAAAAAAAAGTGTCTCTACTCCAATATTAGAACAAATTAAAAAATAATGTTATTCAGTTAGTGTTAAATAAACTTGCTTCTTGTATTTCTTTGATTCGAGCAAAACTTACGTGGTGCTAAAAAGTTTAAAGACATTTAATTTCTAATAAGTAGTTGGTATTATTCATAAAGATGAAAAATACCATTACATTTTCTATTTATGAAACTATATTCCTTTCAAAAACCTTTCCAAAATATTTTTTCACATACAGTTCTGTCAGAGTTAAATAAATCAAACAAAATGTTACCTAGAAAATTTATTTACATTATTGAACGTTCATCGATCAATTCGTTGCTTAAATAAAAAATAATACTAATTATTACAGAAATAGACATAAAGTGGTAGTTGCTTTATGGCAAGGCACTAAAAATTGTGTCCCTGAGCCCTACGAAATCACAATGTTGATCTCAATTTTAAAAATACAAGTCAAGAACAATAATTGTGGTACTTCAACAAGAATTTTATTTAAATTTTTATTTGAAGGGAATTTAAATTTTGACAATAAAAATGTTTTAAAGTAGATTACCTTAGGAAAACATAATTGTCCTTTGAGTTTTTTTTCAGAAAAAATAATAAAATATGGGCAATGTTTAAAGCATCGTGTCCGCAAAAACCCGCTATAACTTCACTCCTTGACAATATTTTCAAAAAAGTTTGCAAACCAACTACAATGCAATATTTATTTTTTTTTATTTTAAATAAGTAACTATGAAAACATTTTTTTTAAATTCATAATTTTATAAAATATATATTATAAACCAAAAAGAAATAAACTATGATTTTTCCGGACATACATTTTCTTTTCAAATTATTCCGGACATACATTTTCTTTTCAAATTATTTTTTGTTTTAATTTTCAATTTTTTTTTTTTTATAATCGTGAAGAGTGGACATTAAGCATCTTGGCGAAATGTGTTATGAATGATTGTCTAATTGCCAATTGGTTCAAACTTCAAACTTTAAACTTTAAAAATGGTAAATAAGGATTTCCTTATAGTTGATTCACATTTTTTAGTAATTTTTAGGTTTATAAAGAAAGAGTGTTTAATATTTTTTGTTCTCAAGAACAAAAAATGTATAAATTCACTTTCGTATATTTAGGTTTTATTAAGCTTCTAATCATTGCTTTTTAAACAATAAACATTGCCGAGGAGTGAAGGTAGTAAAAATAATAGCAGCGTCAAGGGAAAAACCCTCCTTTTGATACACAGTTTTTTTGCATGCACAAAGATTAAATGTTGCCAAAATATGATATAATAACAATGCAAGAAAAAATCATTTAACAATTCAATATCGATAAAATATTCCATATCAAGATAAATATTTTTAATAATCTTTTAAATTTTTTATTGAGAAATTATGAAAGTATAATGGTACCATAAGAAGATATATTTAAATAAGTTTTTGTTCCAGTTCTGTGAGAAAACAAGTGGAAATAAAGAAGCTTCTGGTTAGGCTTAAAACTGTATTCTTCCTTGATTTCATTGATGCACATTTTTCAATCATGTTTTCAAAGTCAACAATTTCAGTTTCCTTTCTCTGCACTCAATAGTGCTAAGTGCCACAATTTAGCTTGTCCCTTTGATGGTCTCAAATAAGACAAAATTAACTGAAAATTAAATTAACTGAAAAATCACTTGCAGCTTTCTATGGAAATTGCAATTGTTAGTATAATTTGATTTGCAACATGAAGATTTGGGAACATACTTTCATATTGAACAATAAATTTTAGAAGCTCTTCTGAATTTGATTAGATATTGGCATTCTTCAGTCTAAAATGTTGCCAGATGACTTAATGCTTAATTCAGGAATATTATACTACAAATTATTTATTCAGAGGTGTTATGCTCCCCACCATTCCCAAGTGGTGCCCATGGTACACATGCCCTATTTACCATACCCTAGATACTCCACTAATAACAAAAAACTGTGATATTTGATGGTTGTTTTTTAAAATTCACTTTTTAAATTCAAGCATTATAGTTTAATGTGTGTGTTATTATGATATCACGTAAGCAAAGTTCTTCTCTAGGCAGATATATCAATAAGTTGATAATCATGATCTTTTGTCATTTTCTAAGGATGTGTTGTCTAAATAATTATTAATATTATGAAGTTTTGCTGAAAAGTTCTCAGCTGACTAAATATCAGAATTTAGTCTGAAATCCCTTCTTGGTCAGGCTAAGATGTTTTTTTTTATGATAATGTAGTGAACGAGATAATCAAGTACCCCGGAAAAAATATAGTTTTAAGGTATGCTATATTTATCTGTAAAAGTGCTCAGTATCAGGGATAAAGCATATGTATTTAGAGCCTCTAGAATAATTTGAAACATAATCCTTATTGCCTACCCAATAACTATTAGGATAATACAGTAGACCTTGCTATTCATAATGTACCAATGACCAGCTTATATAAATAGTCAATCCAAAACACAACACACATGGCGTTCAAGCATCAAATGAACTGTCACCACTTGGAGTTGGCCTCAGTGTCCACTTATATATCTTACTTTAAATGTTATTTAAAGTGTTAAAGTGATAAAGATATGTTGGATTAATAAATAAAATCCATTACTTCTTTTTATATGCTTGACTCTCCCATCGAATTCGACGTATGAGGGTCAAGC